TTTTATTTATTGTTTTACAAAGATATGTTTATGTATTTTATAAATGTATAAAAATAGTTATGAAAAATGTTACAATTTATCTTAAAAAAATTATAAACTTTATCTGTTGTCAAAACTTCCTTCTACCGGCGAAGGGATGTGCATCAAGTAGGTTGTAGAAGTCTAAATGCGTCTTTAATTTAAAGACCGATTCACAGAAAAAGTATCATTACTCATTAATGTCATTCAGAACAAATTTAATCACATCAATAATGACAAAAATCTTTATGTTTGCTATCTTATGTTGATTACGTTGTTAATTTTAGTTATTTTTTGTTACATAGGGTACACATTTATTTGAAAAAATGATTTTTAGGGAATATTGACTTTAGGATTGTTTGAATTTTTGCATGGTTGCCACCTTGAAATGATTCCTTTCAATGACTACTTTGATGCACGTTAATATGAAAACGAGTATAGTAGGTACTAGTTTTGCATAAGAATCAAAAATTTTTGTTTTTTTTTATTTATTACTTAATACCTCAAAAACTATGCATCGTAGAGTATTTTAACCTGTTGTATCGTGTTTCAGCGTGTAATTTTACGTCTAAAAAAACATATCATACAACTTAATTGACTATTTTTACGATTTTACTACCGCTCATCTTCAAAAATTCAAAAAATTCGATTTTTTTTAAACTTGATCCAATGGTGTTTTATGCACTTATTTGAGTCGTTAAGACATCTAGAAATGTAAAAAACGTTAAATGGATCAATTTTAAAGTTGATTTTTTTTTAATTTTTGTCGAGATTTTGGTCGATTTTTGGCACCCGGAGCGGTCTATTGGCAATAACTCCGGACTTATTGGAGATAACCTCTTATATTTGGTTATCGAGAAAATTTCTGATAAAATCAAAAATATCAAAAATATAAATCCGCTTATAACTTCAAAACTATTAGGAATTTTGCAGTTTTCTTGACGCCAATCGATTCCCCGGAACATTTTGCATATGTCTAGGTCAAAATATTATATCATTGAGATACAGTTTTTTCGCAATTTACAAAAGAAAAAAAGGAAAAATTTGTTAACACACATTTGTTAACAAATTCGTAATTTTTTAAATTTGACCCAATAACGTTTTATGCATTTTTTTGAGTCTTTAAGACCTCTAGAAATGTAAAAAACGGTATATGGATTTTTTTTTAAATTTTTGTCTATTGCTCCAGACTTATTGGTGATAACCTTTTATGTTTGGTACTGTTGGAAAAAAAAATAATTTTCTATCATATACAAAACGGATCTATGTTCTACAGAGTGGTTATAAATGATTTTCATCTGGCCAGCTTTGGAATTTTTTTGCATGTAATTTTATTTGTGCCGCTCTAATTTTTTAAAAGCTCTAGTTCTGCCATTTGTGTCACTTATTAATTAATAATAAATTGTTGTTAATTAAACTTTTATTGTTTCAACTAATTTTCAATAATAATTGATAATAATGTATACTTTGGAAGAAAACAAGTTTATAATTGAAGTCTATTTTCGAAGTAGACGCTTAGTAAACGRCGATTTTTTAATTTTGAGTTAAAACAAGTAGGTACCCCCATTTTCGTAATGCGGAATTTTTTATTTTACATGGAAAATTCGCAGCTGGCTAGATGAAAATCATTTATAATCACTCTGTACCATAAATAGTTATCGAGAAAATTTTTGATAAAATAAGAAATAAATAAAATAAAAGAAAAGGTAGGTAATAATAATAATAATAAAAATCAAGGTAAATTTATCCATTTTCGGCATTTATTTCTTAATTAGAACAACCTCAACTCGCCACAATAATTATCTCCCGAACAAAGAAAATTCTCTCGCAATTAAAAAAGGTTAAACGCGTCATTCGTCTTACGATCTGTTCTTGACACAACTTCTGTCCAATTACACCGAATTCTCGAAAAAACGCATCGCAAGTGTCCATTAAACGTGGCAAAATATTTTGACGGAGTGCTCGAACAGGCCCATCGGGTTTCTTTCCTTCTCAATTAAAAATTAAAAAGCGCCTGTCGCAACGTCCCATCAAACTACCTGTTTACAGCAATGGTTCTGTTGGTCCCATTTACATAGTTCTCCGACATGGAGGAGATGACAGAGACGCATACTTAAACCGATATTCCAATGATGTAATCTGGTTCAACTAAACGGCCGGTTAGTTCTGGAGAAATGCGCCACATAATACACCCTAATTAAATTAAAATGCCGCAGTCAACTTAGAGATAATTGATTGTCGAAACAAAAGGCTTCCGATAGCATCTCCAACCGTCGCGGCCCGGCCATCAATAACACGAAAATGACACTGCGCCAGGGCCGGAATGGGGAAATTCCCTCACCCAAAACCGTACAGGGGGCGCCAGAACTCGTGCCCCAGAGAAAAATTAAAAAAAAATTCTATGTATTAAAGTTTCAAAGTTATGAAAATTTAAAATTTTTACTTTGATTCTATTTATTTCTGTAGGAAAGATAATTTTTCAAGTTTTTTTGCTACGCTGTGTCCTAAATTACAACTCTGTTTAATGTTATTTGTGGCTTTTATTGGCAAAATTTTTGTACTTTTACTAAATAATTATAGAAAAAAAAAACATATACAAAATTATCAGTAGGTATTATTAATATACAGGGTGTTCCGTCTAAATCCCACTTTAGAAGTATTGGGAGTTGCAATAGTCGTATTTATTTCAAAATTGGTACATAATCATAAACCATTAAGTCCTCCCAAATGGAAATATTTTCAAAATGGCGACACTTCCGGTTATACCGGAAGTCGGTCTCAACATTCTTATTTTAAATGAAAAGGTATATTTTTTACTGCGTTTTTGGATTAATTGGGTTATTTTAAGGGAATTTTCATTAGCTTTCCCCATACCTAAATTTAGCCGTTTAGGAGTTTTTCAAAAATTTTTGGATTTGCTGCACCTTCCACTTTAAAAACCGGTAACTCTGCTATTTTTTAAAATTTTGAATTCGTTTTT